AGTCTTGTATTTGAAAGTCAAATTTCCTATTCAGCTCTGGTCTTTTCATCAAGAATGCTTGAAAGTCCTCTATTTCACTGAATGTCCCCTGAAGGATTATACTCAGTTTCACTGGGTAGGTGATTCTTGGTTGTAATCCTATCTCCTTTGACCTCTGGAATATTGTATTCCAAGCCCTCTGGTCCCTTAATGTAGAAGCTGCTAAGTCTTGTGTTATCCTGATTGTGTTTCTGCAATACTTGAATTGTTTCTTTCTGGCTGCTTGCAATATTTTCTCCTTGACCTGGGAACTCTGGAATTTGGCTACAATATTCCTAGGAGTTTCCCTTTGGGGATCTCTTTCAGGAGGTTATCAGTGGATTTTTTCAATTTCTATTTTACCCTCTGGTTTTAGAATATCAGGCAAGTTTTCCTTAATAATTTCTTGAAAGATGATGTCTGGGCTCTTTTTTTAACTTTTTTTTTCTAGGCTCTTTTTTTTTTTTTATCATGGCTTTCAGATAGTCCAATAATTTTTAAATTATCTCTCCTGGATCTATTTTCCAGGTCAGTTATTTTTCCAATGAGATATTTTGCATTGTCTTCTATTTTTTCATTCTTTTGGTTTTGTTTTACAATGTCTTGATTTCTCATAATGTCACTAGCTTCCATTTGTTCCATTCTAATTTTTAAGGAAGTATTTTCTTTTCTTTTTTTAATTTTATTAATTTATTTTGATTTATCAATAATCACTTCCATGTGCTTTTGAGTTTAAAATTTTTCTCCCCCTTCTTCCCCACCACGCTCCCCAAGATGGCACACAACCTGATATAGGCTATATATTTACTTTCCTATTAAACATATTTTCACATTAGTGGTATTGTAAGTAAAAATTAAAACCAAAAGGAGGAACCATAAGAAAGAGGAAACAAAACTCAACGGAAGAGAAAAAAATAACAATTCTACTTTCATAGTTCTTTTTTTGGATGTGGATAACATTTTCCATCACAAGACCTCTGGAGATGTCTTAGATCCTTGTATTGCTGGGAAGGGTTAATTTTATCAATATTAGTCATCGCATAATGTGGCTGATATTGTGTACAGTGTTCTCTTGGTTCTGCTCATTTCACTCAGTATGGGCATCAGACCATACAAGTCTTTCCAGGTCTTTCTGAACTCAGCCTGCTGTTCATCATTTCTTATAGCACAATAGTATTCCATTACATTTGTATACCACGACTTGCTCAGCCATTCCCCAATTGATGGGCATCCTCTCAATTTCCAATTCTTTGCCACCACAAAAAGAGCTGCTGTGAATATTTTTGTACATGGGGGTCCTTTTCCCATTTGTATGATCTCTTTGGGAGTGCTATTGCTGGGTCAAAGGGTATGCACATTTTTATAGCCCTTTGGGCATAGTTCCAAATTGTTCTCCAAAATGGTTGAATCATTTCACAAGAGGAAGTATTTTCTTCAGTGAGCTTTTGGACTTCCTTTTCTATTTGACCAATTCTGCTTTTTAAGGCATTCTTCTCCTTATTGACTTTTTGGACCTCTTTGCCGTTTGGGTTAGCGTATTTTTTAAAGTGCTATTTTCTTCAGTGTTTTTTTGGGTCTCCTTTAGCAAGCTGTTGACTACTTTTTCATGATTTTCTTGCATCACTCTCATTTCTCTTGCCCATTTTTTCTCTACTTCTCTTACTTCTTCTCAAAATCCCTTTTGAGTTCTTTCATGGCCTGGGACTGATTCATATTTTTCTTGGAGAATTTGGATGTAGGAGCTTTGACTTTGTTGTCTTCTTCTGGTTATATGTTTTGATCTTCTTTGTCACCAAAGAAGAGATTCTGTGGTCTAAGTTTTTTGTGTGCAGTTCACTCATGTTCCCAGCCAATTACTTGAGTTATAAACTCTTTGTTAAGATAGAGATTTGCTTCCAGTGTGGAGAATGTACTGTCTCAATCTTCAGGGCTTTTGTGCAACTGTTTTCAAAGACACTTCTAGGGACCTGTAAATTTTCAGTTCTTCCAAGGTGGTATGATCAAAGATGAGTTGTATACTCCTTTCCTGGCCTGGGCTCTGGTCTATGAGTGACTGCAAGTGCTCTTTTCTCCCTTGGAACTGTAAGGAGGATTCCTTCTGCACCACCACCACAAGCTCCACCATGCCAGTGCTCCTCCTCACCTGAGGACCACCACCTAGAACTGTGACCCAGCTCCAAACATGGGCAAAGCAAGAGAATCCTGCCTCAGCACCAGTAAAGAGATCCCTGCAATCCCCCTCTGATCAGCCATTCAATTCTCCCTCAGTCTGTGGGCTGAGAGCTCCGAAACAGCTGCCATCCTGGGGCTGGGCGACTGGGACTGGGACTAAGCTTCTCTCTCACAGAGCCACAGAGTTTTCCTTCTAAGTTGTCTTTGGCATTTGTTGGTGGAGAAGTCTGGAATCCACCACAACTGCCTGAGAGTCAGTCTTCTGAGGCCTGCTCCAGGTTCGCTGAGGCCTGGTCTTTGCCTGCACACCCACACTGAACTGCAATTCTCTCCCATCCAGGCACAATAGTCCTTTCCAATCAACCATCCAGGTCATCTTGGGCTGGAAATTTGTTTCACTCTGTCTTTTTGTGGGTTCTACTGCTCTACAATTTTAGAGCCATTCTTTACTTTTTTTTTTCTTAGGCAGTTGGGGTTAAGTGACTTGCCCAGGGTCACATAGCTAGCAAGTGTCAAGTGTTTGGTCTGAGGCTGGATTTGAACTTAGGTCCTCCTGACTTCAGGGCTAGTACTCAATCACTGTGCCACCTAGCTGCCCCAAAATTTGAGATTTCGATTTTTTTTTTTTGCGAGGCAATCAGAGTTAAGTGACTTGCCTAGGGTCACATAGCTAGTGAGTATCATGTGTCTGAGGCCAGGTTTGAACTCAGGTCTTCCAGGGCCAGTGCTCTATTCACTGCACCACCTAAGTGTCCCTAGAGCCATTTTTTACACATATTTGAAGTGCTTTGGGGGAGAGCTCAAGCAAGTCACTGCCTTTACTTCACCATCTTGGCTTAGCCCCCCAACTAACTTTCACAATAACAGTGTTACAGAAAATGTGGAAACAATGGGAAAGACAAAGTAATTTTTTAAATTAATTAATTAATCATTTTTTAAAAAAATTTTCAGATTCCAAATTCTCTCCTTCCTTCTCATACTCATCTATTCTTTGGCAAGTCAAGCAATGTGATATCAATTATACATGTGAAATCATGCAAAATATATTTTCATATTAGCCATATTATGAAAAAATGAAGTGAGAAAATTATACTTCACTTTGCACTCAGGGTTCATCAGTTCTCTCTCTGGGGGTTGTTAGCATTTTCCATCATGAGTCCTTTGGAATTGTCTTGGATTGATGAGAGAAGCTAAGTCTTTTGCAGTTGATCATAATACAATACTGCTGTTCCTGTGTATAATGTTGTGGTTCTGCTCACTTTATTTTGCATCAGTGAGTATAAGTCTTCCCAGGTTTTCCTGAAACCATCCCCTTCATCACTTCTTATAGCAAAATAGTGTTTCATCACAATTGTATACCACAGCTTGTTCAGCCATTCCCCAGTTTAGGAGTCTCCCCTCAATTTCCAGTTCTTTGCCACCACAAAAGAGCTGCTAGAAATATTTTTCCATATATAGATCTTTTCCCCTTTTCTTTGATCTCTTTGGTATATAGACCTAGTAGTGGTACAGCTGGGTCAAAGGGTATGTACAGTTTTTTAGTCCTGTGGGTATAGCCCCACCTTGTTCTCCAGAATGGTTCAACCAGTTCACAATTCAATCAACAATGCATTGGTGTACCTATTTTTCTATATCCCTCCATCATTTGTCATTTTTGATAGGTATGGGGTAATACTTCAGAGTTGTTTTAATTTTAATTTCTCTAATCAGTAGTGATTTAGAACATTTTTTCGTGACTATGGATAGCTTTACTTTGAAAACTGCCTGTTCATATTCTTCGACCATGTATCAATTAGTTAATGGCTCCTAGTTTTATAAATTTGACTCAGTTCCTATATATTTGAGAAATGAGGCATTTATCAGAGAAACTTGCTGTAAAATGTTTTATATTTATTCATTTTTATGGTACCTTTTAGCAAAATCTAGTTTCCCTGATTATCTGTTTTTATTAGGTCTCTTTTTGCTTTTGCTTTGTCCAAGATCATGATTGCTACCCCTGCTTTTTTTGGGTCCACTGAAGAATAATAAATTCTACTACAGACTCTTATTTTAACTCTTCGTGTGCCTCTTGTAAGCAGCATATTGTTTGTATTCTAGTTTCTAATCCATTCTGCTCTCCACTTCCATTTTATGGGGTGGCTCATCTCATTGACACAGTTATAATTATTTTCTTCTTTTTATTTTTCTCTCTCCTTATTCTGTTCCTCCGCAAAAGTCATTTTGCTTCTGACCACTGCCTTCCTGAGCCTACCCTTCCATGAACATTTCTCCTCCCCTTTCTCTTATTCCTTTCCCCTATTGGATAAGTAGATTTCTATACCCAGCTAAATGTGTGTGTGTGTGTGTGTGTGTGTATAGATATAGATATAGATATAGATATAGATATAGATATAGATATAGATATAGATATAGATATAGATATAGATATAGATATAGATATATTCTTTCCTCTTTCAACCTATTCCAATGGGAGTTCAAGCATTACCTGCCACCACTAACCCCCAATTTTCCTCCTCCATCATAAAAGTTCCTCCTTGTATGCCTCTCTTATGTGAGATAATTTTCCCAATTCTACAGTCCCTTCCTCCTTCTCCCAGTGCATCCTTCTTTCTCACCCCTTCATTTTTTTTAATTATCCCAACATATTTGACTCGTGTTCATGCCCTCTGTCTATGTAGACTCCATCTAACTGCTCTAAAAGTGATCAGGTTCTCTAGAGCTGCATTTATCATCTTCTCATATAACAATTTAACTTTATTAAGTCCCTTGTGATTTCTCTTTCAGGTTTGCCTTTTTATGCTTCTCTTTAGTTTTGTGTTGGAAACACTTTTCCATGCTTTAAGCTTTTTCGTACTGCTGCTTTCAAAGCCAGTTCTGGGGGTCTGCAAGTTTGCTGTGCTTCCAGGGTCATGTGATCCTGGGAGAGGTGTGGTCACTGCTGTCCTGGTCTGTGTTGTTATCTTTACCCAGGAAAGGCCCCTGTCTACCTGCAGCTGCAAACACTAGTGCTCCTCTTGGCTCTGGTACTATTACCACGTCCCCTACTCTCCTGTAACCACAAGTGTTAGTTATCCTTTCTGCCTTGGAACTGTGACTGGGACCCCTGTTCACTTAGGACCAACCTCACATGCTCTTTTCCACCCTGGAACTACAACCCAGAATGGCATATTGGCTGTAGAGTTACCAATCAGTACCAGCTGCATCTAGTGCCAGCAGAGGGTTTCCTATAACCTCTTTCTGACCAGTTATGCAACCCCCTTATCATTTCTGGACTGAGAGGTCCAAGAGCTGCTGCTTCTGGGTTTGATGTTTTCAATTTTAATTTCAAATTGCTGCTATTGCAGCCACCTCCAAGGCCTACCACTGATGCTGCTGCTACCTGTGCTGCATCCTGGCACCCACCCTGGTGTCAGAAACCTCTCCTGCCAATGTCTTAAATTGTCTTAGGCTGGAAAAATCTCTCCATCCTGATCTGTTGTTGGCACTGCCACTTTAAAATTTGATTTGAGGTGTTATTCTAAAGTTGTTGAGAGGGGGAATGTTGAAAGAGTTTGGCTATGGTACCACTCCACCACTATCTTAGCTTTACCACAAATGTCAAGATGACTGATGATGACTCAGGATGCAGTGGATGACTTTTGATGTCTAACCACACACTAAGTGCTCCACAGCTCCTGCTTCAGTTACCTTCATGGCCATTGAAACAAATTGTTTTCATTTGCCCACTCATATGCTTGGGATAGACACCCCCCCTTAGCACCGACAGCTTTGGGCCCCTTTGTTTACTCTAAATGTGGTTTAGCCCAGCTGCCAAAATGGTTTACTGGGATATGGCCACCGCACATGCTATAGTTTGTTGGAACCATAGGTGAGAGTTGGGTGGCAGGTGGACACCAAAGGTGGAAAGTAGCTCTAAAAAGGGCTCAGCAGCCCCCACATTTGAGGTAAGTCTTTCCTAAACACCCCTGTACCCCAAGAGAAGAAACAATATAGCCTAGTTCCATACTATTCCTCTACAATGATCTAGAAAATGTGCTAGAACAAATTCTGATTGGAAAAGCCAAGAAAAAGTCAGTGAGTAATTTTTTTTTCCAGCCCAGGGTGGCTTAGGGAAGACAGAGAAGTCTACAGATGGTAGAAATAACATCTGGCCAGGAGCATTCATGGAGAACAAGAGCCAACACAAGGCAGAAAGCATGGGGGCAGAAAGAGATTTCAGGGGATCCCTGAACTAGCACTGAGTACAAGAACAGGTACTATCTAGCAGCAGCTGTTACTCACTGCCCAGTCCAGATTCACAGACCCAGGGCAGAGAGGAAACTTGGGCCCTAGCTGGGTACCAAGAAAGGAATAAGTTCCAGAATATAGCTATGTGGCTCTGAGACCTGAAACAGAACATAAATACCTCTTATAGCCTTCAGCCCAGCATGGAGACCTGCGATGGAATAACTGGGACAAGAGTCTCAGACCAAAGGTGATCTGAGAGTTCAGACACTCTGAACTTGCAGAGCCTCCCAGTGGACTACCAGTGACTCAGTACAGCAGCAGTCAACTGAAACTCTATCAAAGACTTACTCAATGATCTACCTATCAAACCACCGAAGAATTACTTTATAAAGCTAGAAAAATAATAATTTGTTTGGAGGAAGAAATGATAACAAAATTCATTCTGGATGAATATCAAAGTAAATAATGATTTTAAAAAGGAATGGTAATGGAAGATGACTGATATAACTGATCTGAGACCATACTACAAAGTCATAATTGTCAAACAATTTTGGTACTGGGTAAGAGACAGAGGCAGCTAGAAGGCTCAGTGGGTAGAGTGCTGGGCTTAGAGTCAGGGATACCCGAAATCAAGTTCCATCTCAGACACTCATTAGCTGTGTGACTCTAAGCAAGTCACTTAACCACTATTTGCCTTAGTCTGTTTGAGAAGAAAATGGCAAACCAATTCTGGTATCTTTGCCAAGAGAACCCTATTCAGGGTCACGTTAATATCTTCTAGTAATGAACACTTATGGTACATATGACCTATAATGTATTGTTATTTCATTGTTTTATGCATTTCTAACTAGACTGTAATCTCTTCCATGAATTACCCGCTTTTTACTTCCTGTGTCTTCCACAGATCCTAGCAAGAGTGTACACATAAGAGAGTTGTTTAGTAATCATTTGTTTTTGTATAATTCTCAATTTTTAAATATTTTACTTTTTATATTTTATGATCTTATTTTTATAATCTATTTTATTTTCAGTTTTGAAGTCTTCACCTCCCCTCTCCTACCCTTGGAGAGGGCAAAAAAAACCCTAAAGTCACTACAAATATTTATGGTCATGCAAAACAAATTCTCACATTATCTATGACTGAACGACTATTCAGCAAAGAAAGAGACGTAAATTGGGAATGGATTACATATGTAATATACAGAAACAAATGAACACAGGAACCCAAAGATTCTGACTATTGGGAAACCTGGAGAATAGTCTGGAAGAAACTAGGTATAGATTAGTATCTCACCCAGTATACCAAGACAAGCTCCAGATGGGTGCATGACTTAGATATAAAGGGTGACATCATTAGCAAATTAGGAAAGCATGGAAGAAATGACCTGGATAGGGTTCTTGACCAAAGAAGAGATAGGTTCACAGGAGGTAAAATGGATAAATTTGAATAAATAGAATTTAAAAGATGTTGCATGGAGAAAACCAATGAAGCTAAAATGAGAAAAGAAATAGGAAATTGGGGGTGGGGGTTGGAAATTTTGCAGCAAGTTTCTCAAAGCATCTCATTTCTAAGGTAAGAGTAAAATTTATGAGAATAAGAGCCATTCTCCACTTGATAGTCAAAGGACATGAAAGGCAGTTTTCAGAGATGTCAGTCGTCATATAAAATGCATATTTAAAGAAATACAAATTAAAACAATTTTAAGGTACCACCTCATACCCATCAGATTGGCTAAGTTGACTGAAAAAATAACAACAAATACTGGAGGGTCTGTGGGAAAACTAGTAATTAATGCACTATTTTTGGAGCTGTAAACTGATCCAGCTATTCTGGAAAGCATTTTATTACTGTGCCCAAAAAGCTATTAAATTGTGCATACCCTTTCACCCAGTGATACCACTATTAGGTCTATACTCCAAAGAGGTCAAAGGAAGAGGGAAAGGAGTCATATTTTCAAAATTATTTATAGGTGCTCTTTTTGTGGTACCAAAGAATTGGAAACTGAGTTGATGCCTATCATTTAGGGAATGGCTGAACAAGTTATGGTATATGAATGTGATGGAATACTGCCGAGCTATAGGAAATGATGAAGGGGATGGTTTCAGAGGATCATGGAACCAAGACTTGTATGAACTTATGTAAAGTGAAGTGAACAGAAGCAAGAAAACAATTTATATAATAACAACAATATTGTAAAGATAATCAACTTCGAAAGACTTAGGGCCTTCATTACCACAATGACCAAGAACAATTTCAAAGGACTCATGAATAAACATGATATCCACCCCCACAAAGGGCCTGTGGACTCAGAGTACAAATTAAAACAGACTTCCTTCTTTCCTTCCCTCTTTTCCTTCCTTTTTCTTTTTTTCTTTCTGCCTTTCTACCTCCCACCCTTCATCTCTCTCTTCCTCCCATCCTTCCTTCCATCTTTCCTTCCTTTCTTTCTTCCTTCCTTCTTTCCACGTAGCTAATGTGGGAATTTGTTTTGCATGACTCTACATATTTGTAGTGACTTTGGAGGTTTTTTTGCCCTCTCCATGGGTAGGAGAGGGGAGATGGAGACTTCAAAAGTGAAAATAAAATAAATTATAAAATTAATGTTATAAAATATAAAAAGTAAAATATATAAAAATTGTGAATTATACAAAAATAAATTATTATTGAACAACTTTCTGATGTGTACACTCTTGCTAGGATCTGTGGAAGACACAGGAAGAAAGTAAAAAGCAGATAACTCATGGAAGAGATTATAGTCTAGTTAGAAATGCATAAAACAACTAAATAATAATACATTATAGGTCATATGTACCATAAGTGTTCATTAATAGGAGATATCAATGTGACTTTGAATATTTGGGAATGTTTCATGTTGGAGCTTAGATCTGAAATGATCCTTAAAGAGTAAGGAAGGATTTGTACATTCAGGATGTACTAAGCAAGGATAATACAAGCACACAAATAAGTCTACTCAGGAGTAATTTAATGTCCTAATGCTTCACAACTTTTTTACTATGATTATGAGGAAAGAAAAGGCCTCAGCTCAGAATGTTCAGGTACACACTACTAACCCTAACCTGGATTAGTCAACATAAAAGACAGGTCCATGGGTGATTTGTAGTTGATATGGACCCCTTTTTAAATCTACTGTCACAACTCATAGACAAACAAGATGAGTGGGAGCTTCCCAGGAAATTCCCTTTTCTCCAGATTATGTTCAAATATGTGATTTTCCTCTTATCTCCCTAATTTTGTCCTCTTCCTGATTCCTTTTTGTTGTTGTTGTTGTTGTTGTTTTTTAGGCAATTGGGGTTAAGTGATTTGCCCAGGGTCACACAGTTAGTAAGTGTGAAGTGTTTGGTCTGAGGCCGGATATGAACTCAGGTTCTCCTGACTTCAGGGCCGGTGCTCTATCCTTCCTGATTCCTTAAGGTAGTTATATCCTAATACTTATTTCTCTCTGTATGTACTCTCCCTTAGCAATATCATTCATGCCCATAATTTCAACTTCTATCCCTATTCAGAAAACTTCCAATCCTAATCTCTCTTTTGAGTTCCAGCCCTTTTTCAATTGCCTACAGAATATTTTTTTCTTAAAGGTCCCACCAGAATTTCAATTCATTAAAACCTGATCCCTAAAACTTGTAAATTTTTGTCTTCTCCCCTCACACTATCATATCTTGTTTCTGGAAGCTGTAGAGTAATAGTTATAATCTTAGTTTGGAATGTATAATAACCAAGTTATTTTCTGTTGTGTGTTTCAGCAAATGGGATTCAATGGGCAAAACTTATGCAGCCAGTCACCAGAAATGATGATTTAACCTTTGGACATATCCTTGGAATGTTGATATTTTATTCTTTTTTGTATGCCTTGGTGACTTGGTATATAGAAGCAGTTTTTCCAGGAAATTATGGAATGCCTCAGCCCTGGTACTTCTTCTTGTTGGTGAGTTATGAATTTGCTATTCTTTAGTTTTTTTATAGCATAATTCTGGCTACTTTGTGAAAGAACATGCATTCTTAGCCTTCTCCATGGTTTCCTGTTCCCAAAAATGAACTCTAGAAAGTCCATTAAAATAAAAAATTCTCCTCCCTCTCGTCTTTACTGATTTTGGTTTCAGTATGTTGACTTTTCATATATTATCATACTTGAATCAATCAGATGATATCAAAAATATTATCTATAGATGTGGCATCATAACTTCAGATGTCACTAATTCATTATCTTTACTATTCACAACTCACTGCCTGTCCTACTCCCCCCTGCCAAATAAAAACACCAAGAATGGATAAGGAGAGCTAAATATGCAGTCTTAAACATATAAAAGAATGAGAAGGGAGCCAGAAAGTGAGCAATAGAGGAAAATAAGGAAAAAAGACTAAAATTACCAAAGACCTTGAGGGGAAGAAAAGTTAAAGAATTTGAGTATAAATAGATAAACCAAAATATTAATAGAAGAAGGAAATATGGTGTACAAATCTAGTAAAAAAAAGTTTAGGCATCTCTGAATAAATATTACAAATTAAAGGAAAATTTTTCAACACCTGATAAGGCAGAGAGCCCTATTGATTTTGAAAAGAACAGCAAGATGTTCCTGAATGGTTTGAATGAAAAATAAGAATTGTCAGTACAGAATTTATGATCTGTACAGTAGTTCTCCAAATAATTAGGAGAACATAAAAATTTGGATCCACAGTTGCAAGTCTCATAAAAAAAGAGAAGATGGGGGCAGAGCCAAGATGGCAAAGTGAAAGCAGTGACTTGCTTGAGCTGTCCCTCAAACCACTCCAAATACCTGTAAAAAAATGGCTCTAAACAAATTCTAAAGCAGCAGAACCCACAAAAAGACAGAGTGAAACAAATTTCCAGCCCAAGACAAACTGGATGATTGATTGGAAATGTATATTGCATCGGGCTGGGAGAGGAGCGCAGTTCAGCGTGTGCGCCCAGACAAGGCAAACCTCAGCCAACCTGGAGCAGGCCTCAGAGGACTGAATCACAGGTAGCTGTGGCAGTTTCCAGACTTCTCAACCCATGAATGCCAAAGACAGTTAGGAGGTCAGTGGGAAAAGTCTGTTTCTGCGGTGAGAGAGAGAAGCTAGGTCCCAGCCCCAGTTCCCAAGTGCAGCCCAAGTGCAGCAGCTGCCTCTTGAGCTTCTGGCCCATAGACTGAAGGGGAATTGAGTAGCTGATCAGAGGGAGATTTCAGGGATCTCTCTGCTGGTGCAGGATTCTTTTGCTTTGCCCATGCTTGGATCTGGGTCATAGTTCTGGGTAGTGGTCCTGGGTCAAGGAGGAGCACTGGCATGGTGGAGCTTGTAGTGGTGGTGAAGAGAAAATCCTCCTCACAGTTCCAAGGCAGAAAAGAGTGCTTGTGGTCACTCATAGACCAGAGCACAGGCCAGGAAAGGAGTAAACACCTCCCCTTGATCATAGCACCTTGGAAGAACTGAAAATTTACAAGTCCCTAGAAGTATTTCTGAAAACCCTTGAAGCTTGGAACATTCTCCATACTGGAAACAGACCCCTACCTTAAGAAAGGGTTTATAACTCAAGTAATTGGCTGGGATCATGAGCAAACTGCACACAGAAAAGTTAGACCATAGAATCTTTTCTTTGGTAACAAAGAAGATCAAAACATATAACCAGAAGAAGACAACAAAGTCAAAGCTCCTACATCCAAGGCCTCCAAGAAAAAAATGCGTCAGTCCCAGGCCATGGAAGAGCTCAAAAAAGATTTTGAGAAGCAAGAGAAGTAGAGGGAAAACTGAGAGTGATGCTAAAGGAGACCCCCAAAAAATTGAAGAAAATAACACCTTAAAAAATAGCCTAACTCAAATGGCAGTAGAGGTCCAAAAGGCCAATGAGGAGAAGAATGCCTTAAAAAGCAGAATTGGACAAAAGAAAAAGGAAGTCCAGAAGCTCACTGAAGAAAATACTTCCTTAAAAATTAGAATAGAGCAATTGGAAGCTAGTGACTTTATGAGAAATCAGGACACTGTAAAACAAAACCAAAAGAATGAAAAAAATAGAAAACAATGTGAAATGTCTCATTGGAAAAATCTCTGGGGAGGCTAGGTGACGCAGTGGATAGAGCTCTAGCCTTGGAGTCAGGAGTACCTCAGGTCAAATGTAACCTCAGACACTTGACACTTACTAGCTATGTGACCCTGGGCAAGTCACTTAACCCCAATCGCCTCACCAAAAAACAAAAAGAAAAAAAAAGAAAAACAACTGACCTGGAAAATAGATCCAGGAGAAATAATTTAAAAATTACTGGACTCTCTGAAAGCCATGATCAAAAAAAGAACCAAGACATCATCTTTCAAGAAATTATAAAGGAAAACTGCTCTGATATTTTGGAACCAGAGGGCAACAAAGAAAGTGAAAGAATCCACTCATCACCTCCTGAAAGAGATCCCCAAAGGAAAACTCCTAGGAATATTGTAGCCACATTCCAGAGTTCCCAGGTCAAGGAGAAAATATTGCAAGCAGCCGGAAAGAAACAATTCAAGTATTGTGAAAACACAATCAGGATAACACAAGATTTAGCAGCTTCTACATTAAGGGACCAGAAGGCTTGGAATATAATATTCCAGAGGTCAAAGGAGATAGGATTACAACGAAGGAACACCTACCCAGCAAAACCTGAGTATAATCCTTCAGGGGAAAAAATGGACACTCAGTGAAATAGGGGACTTTCAAGCATTCTTGATGAAAAGACCAGAGATGAATAGAAAATTTGACTTTCAAAAACAAGACTCAAGGAAGCATGAAGAGGTAAACAGGAAAGAGAAATCATAAGGGACTTACTAAGATTGAACTATTTACATTCCTGCATGGAAAGGTGATATTTGTAACTCATGAGACCTTTGTCAGTATTAGGGTAGTTGGAGGGAAAAAATTAAATGTATGTATATATTGATAGATAAATGGAGGGCACAGGATGAGTTGAAGATGAAGGAGTGATATCTGGAGAATAAAATTGAAGGTTGAGAGAGGATTATACTGGGAGAAGGAAAAAGGGAGAGGTAGAATAGGATAAATTATCTCACATAAAACAGAGAAGAAAAGACTTTTACAATGGAAGGGAAGTAGGGGAAGGTGAGAGTAAATGAGTGAATCTTATTCTCATTGGATTTGGCTTAAGGAGGGAATAACATACACAATAGGGTATGGAAATCTATCTTACCCTACAGGAAAATAGTTGGGAGGAAGGTGACAAGGTAGCAGGGGAATGATAAAAGGGAAGGAAGATTGGGGGAGGGGGTAATCAGAAGGAAACACTTTTAAGGAGAGATAGAGTCAAAAGAGAGAATAGAATAAATGGGGGCAGGATAGGATTAAGGGAAATATGGTTAGTTTTTCCACAACATGACTACTATGGAAATGTTTTGCATGACTACTCATATATAACCTTTATCGAGTTGCTTGCCTTCTCAATGAGGGTGAGTGGGGAGGGAGGAAGGGAGAAAATCTGGAACCCAAAGTTTTAAAAAGAAATGTTAAAAAAGTTTTTTTCACATGCACCTGGGAAATAAGATATACAAGCCATGGGGTATAGAAATCTATCCTGCCCTACAGGAAAATTGAAGGGGAAGGAGATAGGAGAAGGGAGGGCATATTAGGAGAAAGGGAATTCAGAATGCATGCCATCTTGGGGTGAGGGGAGGGATGACATGGGGAGAAAATTTGGAACTCAAAATCTTACGGAAGTGAATGTTGAAAACTAAAAATAAATAAATAAATTTTAAAAAAGGAAAGAAAACAAAACCCCACCTTATGTTGCTTACAAAATACATTTGTAAAACAAAAACACAGAACAAAATGAAGGGCTGAAAAAAACCTTGATTGAAGTGAATTTTAAAAAAGCATGAGTTGTATCCATTTTATCAGACAATGCAAAAACATTTTTTAAATTTAAAAAAAAGATAAAGAACCTACATTAGACTGAATCACTGACAGCAAATCAATATCAGTATTAAACTTATGTGCTCCCTATGTCGTACCTTCTAAGTTCATAAAGGGAATATTAACAGAGCTACAAGAATTCATAGGCAGTAACACAATAGCAGCAAGTAATTGTTTTGTTTTGTTTTGTTTTCCTTTCTGGGCAGTTGGGATTAAGTGACTTGCCCAGGGTCACATAGCTAGTGTTAATTTTGGCCTGAGGCCAGATTTGAGCTCAGGTTTTCCTGACTTCAGGGCTTATCCACTGCACCACTTAGGAGATATTAAAAGAAGAGAAATAGAGAAACTGGAAGCCTCCAAAACTACAGACATTATAAAATAAAATCTCTTTCTCTGAAAATACTAATAAAATTATAAACCTTTAGCAAATATGATTATTAAAAAGAGAATAGATAATCAAATCAACAAATAACAAATAAGTAAAATAACAAAACTAGAAAAAGGAAGAAAATAATAGAACTGAATATACACGATTATATGTTAACAACTAAGAACACAAAAGAAATAGAGGAATACCTTCAAAAGTATAAAATGGCCAAACTTACAGAAGACCAAATATAGATCTTAAATAACACAGTCTCAAAAAAGTAAATAGAACTAACTACAAAGAAAAAAGAAATCAAAGGAACAAAATACCTATCCCCAGTGGATACCTAAGATTCTATCATACTTTTAAAGAACAATTATACTTTTACTATACAAATTATTCTCAATAATTGAGAAATTATCTCTACCATAATCTCTTTATGAGGCAAATATAGGCCTAATATCTAAACTAGGAAAGACTAGACCACGGAAGGAGAGCTATAGATCAATATCATTAATGAATATCAATTTAAAGATTTTAAACAAAATCCTGACAATGATTTATCTAACAAATCATTCAGTATAACAAAGCAGAATTTATACCAGCATTTCAAGGATGGTTCAACATTAGAAAAACAGTCAACGTAATTAATCATATTGAAAACAAAATATCTAAAACCACGAGTATCTCAATAGATGCAGAAAAGTCCTTTGACAAAGTACAACACTTATTTATGCTAAAAAACTCTATACATATAGGCATAGAAAAACATTTTAATATAAAAGCAGGTATCTAAAACCTAAAGTTAGCATAATAAGCAATGGGAATACACTAGAACCTTTTTCAATAAATATGGGAGTAAGCAAGGATACCTGCTGTCCCAAATATTATTTGATATAGATCTAGAAATGCTCGTAACAACAGTAAGATAAGAGAAAGGATGTAAAGGCATGTGCATGGGTAAAGAGAAGATAAAATAATAGCTTTTTGATGATGATATGGTAGTATACTTGGAAGAAATATAAAAATGTAAACATGAAAGAGAAATCATAAGGAACACAGTAAAATTAAACTGTTTACATTCGTATATGGAAAGATAATACTTGTAACTCCTATGAACTTTGTCATTATTAGGATAGGTTGAGGGCATGTACATAGAAGGCATGAATGTGAGTTGATGGGAAGATATCCAAAAAAATAAAATTGAGAATGAGAGAGATGTACTGGGAGAAGGTGAGAGGGAGTGGTAGAATGGGGTAAATTATCTCACATTAAAGAGGTGCAAAAATGTTTTTACACTTGAGGAGAAGCTGGGGATCCCTCTGACCTGGGGGGGGTCAGAGTTAGTGACCCATACTCTCATCAGAAGTGTATCAAAGAAGGAATAACATATACACTCAGTTGGGTATATACATCTATCTTACCTTACAGGAAAGTGGGAGGGAAGGGAGATAAGAGAAGGATGAGAGACTGATAGAAGAAAAGTCAGAATGAGGGAGGAAGTGATCAGAAGCAAAATACTTTTGAGGAGGGACAGGGTGAAAGGAGAGAAAGATAAAGAGAAGAAAAAAGCAGGATTAAAGGAAATTAATATTTTTATTAAATATTCATCATTTCACTTAGACTGTTAGATTTATTGGCATATAATGGGGCAAAATAACTCCTCATAATTGCTTTAATGTCCTGGTGGTAAATTCCCCTTTTTTATTTTTGATATTTGTAATTTGGTTAATCTATTTTATTTTGTTTATTTTTTCATAAAATTAGCTCCTAATTTTATTTACTAGTTTAACAGCTTTTTTTTTTTTGCTTTCAACTTCATTAATCTCTCCTTTGACATTCAGGATTTCTAATTTGGTGTTTGAGTATTTTTAATTTGTTCTTTTTCAAATTTTTGAAGTTACCTGCCCTACCTACTGTGACATACTGTCATATACTGTGACCAGAGCCCCTATTCTCTTGTAGCCACAGGTGTTCTTCCCTGTCCTGTAATTGTGAGTAGGGCCCCTGCTGCCTTGATACCACAAATGCTTCTCTCCATCCTGGAATTGCTACATGGAGCTGCACGTAGGCCTTTGTGTTGCCAAACAGCTCCTGTTCCTGTGCCGGGTGCCAACACAGGGGTCCTTGTAATCTTAGTGTCTCTGGACTGAGAACTCCCAAAGCTGCTGCCATCACTATCACTGCCTCCACAGCCCACTGCTGCTGTTGCTGCTGCATGTGCTCTGGGCCTCTTCTTTTGACCTCCTAAATTGTCTTGGGCTGGAAATTGGCTGACATTGATATTTTATTGGCTATGTTTCTCCAGATTTCTATTTTTGCATTATTTTAAAGTTGTTTAGAAGGAAATATTGGGAGAATTCAGCTGGGCTGCTGCCTGTACTCGTCTTGTCTCCACTCAAAGACAAGTCTTAAGTGTTCTCTTACATTGTTACTTTTTGCTTCTCTTTTTCTAGATTTTCTTCCACTTGATGCAGGTTTTTTTGTATTGCAAATATGTTCATCTCACTTTCTCTTCTTCAAACAGATTTTCCACAGCAAATTCAATTTTTTTCAGATCTACTAATTCAGTTTTTAAAATCCGCATTGAGAATTCCCTGTTCTGATCTTTTGTCATTCCTAATTTCTTCTTTTGTGGATTCCGTTTCTTTTCTGAACTCTAGAGGTCCTTGTTGCTATTCTGTGCTCTCTTAGAATCCACAGAATTCTATATTTCATCAGGTATTGTCTGACTTTCAATTGTCATGTAACATTTATTAAAAGAGCTTTGTAATCTCTGTGTAAATTTAGTATTTATTCTTCCTGCCTAAAAGGAGTCTTTAGAATCCTCTATGTTGATTTATCTCCTGTGCTCCGGAATTTTATTGATTTTGTTTTAGGATATTTATTTCATGTATAATGGTATTTTATTTTTTCCTTGTGAAACCTTTGGTGTTTCAACCTTATTTTTAAATCTCCCCTCTCCCTCATTCACTTTCTGACTCCTTTGCCTTTGCTGGTAGACTGCAAAAATACCTCAGCTTCTAGCTGCTGGGTGATATAAAATTCTCCAACTAGGTCCCTGCCTGCCCCAAAGTCCCCTCTGAGAGCACAAGCATAGACCCATCTAGGTTTCAGTCTCTAGCTTAACTATGCTTGCTGTTCTTCACTGTTCCTGGGTTGGTTCTCTTTTCCTTCTCACTGTTGAGCTGAATTAACTTCTGCTACTTCTTATAGGATGGGGATAAGAGGATACAATGTTTCAGGCAGCATCTCTGTAGCTTCTTAAGAGTTCCTAACCTAGAGGTGGAGGTTCTCTCAATGAGCCCCAGGCAAACACTTGTGAAGTAACTTATATGCCTGCCATGGAATCATGGAGTCTGTTGGGGAAGAGCTGTCAAGTGAGTGCTCTAAGGATTAGAGTTCTCCAGTGTTCATAAAAATTTTCCTTTTTCAGGATTTTCTCTCATTTCCAATTAATTTGCCTGTGACTGCTTTGCATATTGTACATAATTTCTTTTTTTTTGGGGGGGGCTTAGAGAAAAAGACCAAGCTTCCATCTTGCAAGTTATGTGACTCATACGTCTGATCTCATCCACTCGTTATGAATGTAATGAACTTGGAGCCATCATTATCATGGACATTGATAGAACTCAGTATTTTAGGGGGCCATTGAAACATGTGGGAAAGCAAGTATGTATGATTGAAACCTCATAGTTTCAATATGAATTGGTTTCATAATGGTTTCAACATCCCCTGATAATTATCCTGGGTTATGTTAAATAAGTTATCTCTATATGTGTCTTCTCCTTGTAGTTCTTTTAGAGTTGGGTCCATGTCTTACCTACATTTGCATTCCCAGTACTTACCAAGATGTCTTAAATTTTTTTTATTTAGTTTTTAATGGCTGCAGCAAACAAAGAACAATGAATCTTGCTGATTTCCTCTCCTTCTGGTTTCTACCGTGACTTCTCTGCCAGGACCTCGTGCTAGGCTTTTTTCCCCCTCTCATTGTGATTATTTTAAATCAGTAGCATTTTCCAAAGGGTGTTCTGACATTAAACACATAGAGATTCAAATCTAAGGTAACTTTAGAATGAAAATTCACTACTTTAAAGTTTATTCTTTCTTTGTCAAGTCTCAAAAATCAAAATTAGCAAAGTAATTTTATTTTCAACTGTTCAGCTGTTTCACTGTTGTTAATTCTTGTAATTGTAATTACAATATTTGTAATTAAATTTTTATTTCCTCTTTAGAATTCCTACTGGTTTGGGACTTCAACACCTACTGTAGCAATAAACAAAGAATTTAGCAGTTCTTTGAAAAATCCATACATTGAAGAGGAACCTATAGGCTTGGAAGCTGTGATTCAAATAAAACATCTCTCTAAGGTATTATTGCCCTGGGTCTCTTTTCTAGCTACAACTAAGTCTGTTAACTGTATGTTTCAGTTGTTGGCACTTAACATAGCAAAGAGTTATCAGGTTTTAATGAACAAAGTCTTGTTAGAGTTTCTTCCTTTCTTGGAAAAAAGTCAAGTGAAGTAATTAACTTAAATTTGCAGGCAACAGTACCGATTTCTTTTTTTTAATTAATTTTTTTCAATTAACAAGTAAATTGGCTCTCCTAATTCCATCTCATATTGAGAAAAAGAAAAGAAAAAACAAAGCCCTTGTAGCAAATATAAATAGTCAAACAAAACAGATTCTGTTATTGGCCATGTCCAAATATGTATGTCTTAATTTGAGTCTAATACCTCTCAGAAAATATTGACATACTTCATCATGAAGTGTCATTGCACTGATCAGAGTGTTTAAGTGTTTCCAAGTTGTTTTTCTTTGCATTATTTTTGTTTCTAAACAAGTTGTTCTGCTTTTGCTCATTTTATTCTGTATCATTTCATATAAGTTTTCTATGCTTTCTCTGATATTGTCCCTTTCATGTTTTCTTATGTCGCAATACTCTATTATAATCATATACCACAGTTTGTTCAGCCATTCCCCACATCTCTGTGGTTATTTTACCTTCTGGTTCTATGACTTTCAGGCAGTTTTCCTTTATGATTTCCTGAAAGATACTTTCCAGGATCCTTTTTTCATCATGATTTTCAGGTAGTCCAGTGATTTTTAAATTCTCTCTCCTGGATTGATTTTCCAGGTTGGTTGTTTTACCTTTGAGATATTTTATGTTTTCATCTATTTTTTCATTCTTTTGTTTCTGTTTGACTGATTCTTGCTCTCTCATAGAGTCATTAGTTTCCATTTATCCAATTCTAGTTTTTAACAAATTATTTTCTTCTGTTAGTTTTTGTGCTTCTTTCTCCAGTTGGCCAGTTGTATTTTTAAGGGATTTGTTTTCTTCAGTGTACTTTTTTCCAGTTTGCCAGTTGTGTTTTTTAGGAACTTGTTTTCTTCAGTGTACTTTTTTTCCAGTTGGCCAATTGTATTTTTGAAGGACTCTTCTACCTCTCTCATTTGACTTTTAAAATTCTTCTTGAGCTCTTCTAAGAAGGCTTTTTGGGCTTCAGACCAGTTCGTATTTCCTTTTGATGTTGCAGATGTGGGTTTGTTGACAATGTTGTCTTCTTTAGAATTTCTGTCTTGATCTTCACTCTTCTCATAATATGAATCTATGGTATGTTTCTTTTTACTCATGGTGTTTCTTTATTCCCTGGCCTTTAAAGAGATTGAGCTCTCCTGCTGGGGAACAGAGAGCACTGACCCAAGTTTCTTGTGTTGGGAGCCTAGGTCTTGGTCACTGGCTTTGTGTGCTGGGGCTTCTTATGTTGGCAATTGGAGGCTGTAGGGTTATGGCAGCTTACCTCGTGTGGGGCTGGAATCAGCAAGGCTGGAACTTTCAGGCAATTCTAGGTTGCCTGCTTTTCTTTTCCTTTAGCTTTCTTCAGCTCCTTTTAGATGGGTGCTGCAGGGTGTTTATCTGCTTGGGGCCCCTTGCAATGCTGCCTCCTTCGTTTCTGCTGATGCACTGGGAGATTCCTTTGCGGTTAGAGTGTCCAGGCACCTGGTGGTTTTCTGAGCTGGTTACCATCAGTTCCCCTGCCCTCACTGAGGCACTCAGAGGTCCAGGTGTTAGTGTTTGCCTGCTCTACCACCTGGGCTTCAGAATTTCCTACTAGTTGACAGTTGGAAGCTGTAGGGTTCTGACAGCTTACCTGGTGTTAACTTGGAATCAGCAAGGCTGGGACTTCAGGAAGACTCTAGGTTGCTTTCTTCAGCTCCTTTCAGATGAGTGCTGCAGGGTACTTATGCACCTGGGGCCCTTTGTAGTGCTGCTTCCCTTATTTTTGCTGAGCCACTGGGAGACCCGTTTGCTGGGCTGCTGCACTGCTGTTCCCTGTCTTTCTTCTAGTTCATCTGTTCCAGGGCTTTTTTTTTATGGGGGGGTGATATTTTCTGGGTTTTCAGAGGTTGATAGGGGAGGGTGAGAGTGACTAGCTTTTTACTCCGCCATCTTGGCTCCCAGAAGTAGACCTCATTTGAGGCTTAATAATTTGCTTTTTTTCTAGTTTTAATTTCATACTCATTCCAATTTTTATTCATTCGTTTTGTTGATATAAGGGTTTAAACATAAATATTTCCCCTAATTAAGCCTCATCACCCCTTGTGTGAAGTTTTGTTTTGTTTTTCCAAATTATAATGGTCTCTTTTATTGATAAATTTAAACATGATCACATTAAAAAAAAACTTAATAGGAGGTGGCAACTGAACTGAACTTCGAAGGAAGTCATGAATTCTGAGGAGTAAAGATAAGGAGGAAGGATAGACATTCCAGGAAAGGGAAATGGTGTAGCAAATACAAAGAAGCAGGCTATGGCATGTCGAGTTCTGAGAGCAGCTGGATGAAGTCTGTAAAGTGAAATGAGGCTATAAAGGTTGAGGAGAGAAAGATTGTGAAGGACCTAGAATGTTATGATGGCTGAGGAATATGTATTTTATCCTAAAGGCAATAGAAAGCCATGGAAGATTTTTGAGCAGTCAAATAATAATCAGATGATCTTAGGAAGATTATTTTAGTAGATATATGTGTACCTATGTCTATATCTTGTTTGTAAATAGTTGTTCATATGTTGTCTTCCCTACTACACTGTGAGCTCCTTAAAAGCAAAAAAAAAAACCCAAACTTAACAGGTAACTTTGTTCTCCAGCATATTTCAAATTTTTTTTATTCAGAAGACTGTGGTCACCTCCCTTTTCCCTTGGTTGTGCCAGTCTTTATTTTGAATCAGTTGTCCACTGTGGGCAGGTAAAGGCAAAGCTTCATTCAATAAGACATTTGCTATTTATTCAAGTCTTTCTCTGGTGTTAGAAAATCTTCCCTTATTTTATATTTTAAAATCAATACTTTAAAACAAAGCCATTCTCTTGCATTGGCTTATTACAAATTTCTTTTATAAATGACTTTCCTCCCCCAAACTTCAGAAACTTTATTCAGAAAAACAAACAAAAAAGTGAAGCTAGAGGAATTAAAAAGTACCCATCACTTTACTCTCTTTAATAGCCTGCTCAAAGTTTCATGGACAGCTGCAGAGTTTGCTTACTACAGTCACAGGCCACTGTACCACCAGCTCCTTGTTGGCAGACAGATGAGGTCTTCCTAATCACTCTTATCCTCTCTTTGGTAGTGTCTGTACTCTGGCTTCAGTTCTCAGGTGTTTTTATGGGTCCCCTTAACATTGTAAATGCCTCTTTCTCTCAAGATTTCCTTCAGGTATATCACAAGCTGCTTGGTGATGTCCACTAAGTCCTTAATGTTATTGATGTTTTTCAAAAGCTGAAAACGTATCTAAAACCTGTTGCTTATCAGTTCTAGCTCACTTTCTACCTTCTTTCTTTTTCTTCTCATATTCAGTATTGCATTGATGATTAGCCACTGGTTTAAAATTGGTTGTAACAGCTTTGTCCAGCTGTTGGGATAATCTTTCGAAGATTCTACTATTTGTAATCTCTTCAATCTCATATAATTTTCACTGGCAGCCGGACTGCATTCAGTATGCTGTACCACTGGCCTTCCAGTGAAAGTTTATCATTATTGCTCTCAGAATTTTCTTCACACTGGCCTTCTGATGAGCTTTCCCTAAAGGCTGTTAATGTCTGTCTTCCCATGCGGATGTTCTCCAAGAGCAATGACAGAAGCAGTTTTTTCCACCAATATCATGAATATTTGCTAGTTCCTCATTCAAAGTAAAAGATACTTCGGTCTTTCCTTGATTCTTTGCAATCCTCAGCTTTTCTTCTTTCTCTTTTCCTGAAGCTTTGGCCTATTACTGAGACAAGTACTTAGAACCTTCACGAGCCACACTCCAGTGTTTTATTTGTCATCTGTCAAGTCAAGCTCAGGTGCTCAGCCATGGCAAGGCCCCACTACTGCCATTGATGGAGGAGAGGGGAGTGTGGGTTCTGGGAGGAAGGTCTGGACGTCGTGGCTGCAGTGCCGCTGGTGTCACCCCAAAAGCCAGGAAGTGGCTAGCTTGGGGGGACCCTTGTATGAAGTTTTGGAAAAACCTCCAAGCTGTTCTTCTTGCTGCTTGTTTCTCTCTTCTCTACTGCAACTAAAATAGCCATTGGAAGACCAAAAGTCCTGTGGTTTTGGATCCTTGTGACTTTGGATCCCTGCTATTCCTTTATTTCTCCATTGGAGCTTCATAACATGCTATTCTGGAAGAATTCAAAACATTGTGGATTCTTCCTGTGTTCTGAAGCATCATTCAGAGATGCCTTGAAATAAATTTTCTGTTAGATAAGTTTTGAACCTTTGTACATTATGAAGTAGAAATGTCTTTCCTTTTGCATTTTTCTCTGTGTATCTGATGGTTTCAACAAAAGCTTAATATGCCATAAATTCTTCAGAAATGACAGCTATATATAATATATATGCATATATACATGTGTGTATGTATGTGTATGTGTGTGTGTATAATTACTCTTTCTTTTCTTAATTCACAGGTGTTCATCATAAACCAAATTAAGAAATATGCAGTAAATGATATGACTATAAGTTTTTATGAGGGACAAATCACTGCCCTTCTTGGAAATAATGGAGCAGGAAAAAGCATCACCCTCTCAGTACTCGCAGGTACATTATCTGATCAGCTCTGATCAGCGGAGGAGCCAGGGATTTGACTCTCATGTTTTCAAGACTGCAGAAGATGTTAAGTAGCACTGCAATATCAGGCGTTCATCTACCCCTCTCATAGTTGGATTTGTCATTTCAACGTTCATACACACACACACACACACACACACACAAAATGTATATGTACCTACAGTATTGCAATGAGCAAAAGTCCACATTCTCCCTCTCCTACCATAACCTCCCCACCTCATCCCAATTGAAAACAATAGAAAAACAAAATAGGTTTAAAAAAAACAGTTATAGTCAATCAAAACAGATTTCCACATTTGGCCATGTACAAAAAAAATTTGTCTTATTCAGCATTCTGCAACATGAATGATGAAACATCATCATTGGGCTTCTGGAATCATGGTTGGTCATTACACTGATAAGAGTTCCTAATTCTCTCAGAGTCATTTTACTTTACTATATTGTTTACATTGTAAAAATTATTTTTCTGGGTCTGTTCACTTTACTGTGTGTCACTTCATACAAGTCTTCCCAGGTTTCTCTGAAAACCTTTATTTCATTGTTTCTTATAGCATAATAGTATTCCATCCCATTTATGTAATATAACTTGTTCATCCATTCCCTAATTTATAGGCTTCCCCTCTGGTTACCATTCTTTGCTACTTCAAAAGGGCTATAAATATTTTTGTACATTCTTAGAGTTTGTTTTGCTTAGGACTAATTCCTCCCTCTAATTCCCACTCTCTCTTCTCCCCCTTCCCTCCTGTTTCTATTTAGAGTAAAATGTGTTTCTGTACCCAACTGTATATGTGTGTCTTTTTCCTTGTTTTGATCAGTTCATATGAAAGTGAGATTCAAGTCTGCTCACCATTACCATTTAACATCAGGAGATTCATTGTGAATTGTAAGGATTTGGCATTAGCCACCGCATAGAGGTTATTAAGATCTAGAACTTAGTCCTTCTGAATAGAGAAGACTATATTTCTTGTCTTCATTCTCCATATTGTCACCCCTTCAAGGGACTATTGTATTGCTTGTTTGTTGTTTAATATCTTTTTGTTGTTGTTTTGGAATTTTTTTGCTATCCTGTTTTAGTTTTGTTTTCTTTTTCCCCCAGGAACGACAGAGTATCTATAGCCTTGAGAGTTATTAACCTAGATGCCACTATATTTGAAAGGCAATATGCTTTCTCTATCTTCCTTACATAGCTAGGAAGAATCAACATCTGCCTGTTGTTGTAGAGCAAGGGGGACGGGTAAAGCGTACCATCAAAGTCTTTTCGGCAAAAGAGAATCCCAATATGGACCACCAGGCACAAGTTGATTGTTTGGTTTGTGTATCCCTGCCAAGAGCATAGGGGCTAGTGTTGGAGAGACACTAAATTAGCCTTTTAAGAATGAGATTCTCTACTGTTGTACTATAAGAAATGATGAGCAGGCAGATTTCAGAAAAACCTAGAAAGACTTATATGAGCTGATGCTGAGTAAAGTGAGCAGAATCAGGAGAATGCGAAGTTCTAAAACAACTCTGAAAGACCCATGATGGAAAATGCTGTCCACATCCAGAAAAAAGAACTATGAAGTCTGAATGCAGATTGAAGCATATTATTTGCTCTCTCTCTCTCTCTCTCTGTGTCTCTGTCTTTCTCTGTCTCTGTCTGTCTGTCTCTCTCTCTCCCTTTCTTCTTGTGGTTTATGAATGTAATGGAATGCTATTGTGCTATAAAAAATGATGAGCAAGCAGACTTCAGAAAAACCTGGAAAGACTTGTATGGACTGATGCTGAGTGAAGTGAGGAGAACCAGGAGAACGCTGTACACAGTAACAGCTATGTTGTGGCTAACTTTGATAGACTTAGCTCTTTTCAGCAATGCGAGGATCTAAGATATCTACAAAAGTCTTATGATAGAAAATGCTATTCCCATACGAAAGAGCTATGGAGTTTGAATGCAAATCGAAGCATATTATTTGCTCTTTTTTTTCTTCTGTTTTGATTGTTTCTTCTTTCTTTTGGTTCCTCCTATTGGTTCTAATTCTTCTTTACAACATGATTAATGTGAAAATATGTTTAATAGGAATGTATATGTAGAGCTTACGTCAGATTGCATGCCGTCTTAGGGAGGGAGGTGGGAAGGGAGGGGGAGAAAAATTAAAATTCAAAAACTTGAAGAAGTGATTGTTGAAAACTAAAAACAAATTCATTAAAAATATATATTTCCATATTATATACATAATATATAATATGGAAATATATTAAATTTCATGTGTGTATGTATATTCAGCCTTCCTTTGACTGATTGAGATAAGAGTCAGGTTCATGTGATACTCATTACCCCTACCACTTCCTCCATTTTTGTATTTTCTTCTTTTGGTGCATTTCAGTTATGAGAAATGCAATGTTTTACCTCTTTCTTTTTCATTTCTTCCTAAGTGTATTAGTTTTCCTTTTCCTATCCTTTCCTTTCTTATGACTATTACAACAGAAACAACATCCTTTCACAAGGCCTCAGTTTGTAATTTAACTTTTGTATCCCTTAAAGAGCTTAGGATTCTGAAGGAACACTTGTCTTTTCTTCTGCTAATAGAATGTTTAGCCTTTTCTAATTGTTGAAATATATTTTCTAGGTCTCTCTTGACTTCTCTCTTGACTCTTGTATTTACATTTCAAAGTTTCTACTCAGGTCTTATCTTTTTATTGAGAATATCTGATCGTCTTCTGGCCAAGGTGTCTGCTAGAATGGAAGCAGGTGGCCCAGCTCGCATAGCATACTCCAGTAAAAACTTTAAAATAGTATAAAATCAAATAACAATTGAAAAAGTCAATGTGAGACTATAGTAAGTGATTCTTTTTGCCCCATAACTGTACAAAACGATCACCCAAAAGTCTATGGGCAGCAGGAGAGAGATTCTACCAAAGAAAGCTAGCACCAACAATAGCAAATAAACCCTGCCTCTCAGAATGACCAGAAATAGACTAGGTACATGGGTAGCTTGCAAGGCTCTGTGACTAACTGTGGTTCATGGGTACTTGAACTCTTTCTTTCAAAATTCTATAGTAATTTTTCTTTGACTTGAAGCCCTTGATTTTGGTTATAACATTCCTGGGAGTTTTCATTTGTTTGTTTTCAGGATGTAACTATTGAATGCTTATGATTTTCACATTGCCCTCTGGTTTTAATTGAACTATGCTTTTTTTTACTTATGTTTTCTTGAAATATGATACCCAGGGTTATTTCTTTTAATCATGTTATTCAGGGAATCTTATGTGCAAGCAGAGCCAAAAAGCAAGAGTGATCCTGACACAAAGCCCTAATTCAGAAGCTAAACCTGAGATGAGTAAATAAATGAAGACATTGACTTAGACAAAGAATTATGATAGATCCAGAGATAACCTAGAAATCCAGCCTAGAAAGAAGTACTGTTGCCATGATAATTACAAGCAAAGTCTCAAATAAAAAAATGGATCCTTCACAAGGACAACATAAATGCCTAGAAGAAATGAAGCAAGAGATTAAAATGAAATAAAAGCCATAAAGGAATGAATTAGGGAAAAAATAACATTTAGAATAAAAAAGTGGTAAATCTTACCTAAGTAATGAAATCTCTGAAAATCAGAATGAGTCAGGAAACGTGAAATCAGTGATTCCATGTCACAGCAAGAAATATTAGAATGAAGTAAAGATTGAAAAAATAGTAGAAAATGTGAGTTATCAGTAATCAGAAACAACAGTCCCCTTCATGTGTTCTCTTTTGTATAAAGAAATGCTCTTTTGTGTGGGTGTGGGTGTATGAATGTTCAGAATAGCAAAAACTATTTGTTTAAAACAATGCCTAAAAATCCTTTATTCTGTCAAATATCTGTTTCCCTCACATAAGATCACACTACTCAGTCTTGCATGGCAAGTTATTTTTTTTTCTTTTTTTTTAATTAACTTATTTTGATTTATCAACAATCACTTCCATATGCTTTTGAGTTGAAAATTTTTCTCCCCCTTCCTCCCCCCACCCTCCCCAAGGGCACAATCTGATATAGGCTTTACATTTACATACCCATTGAACATATTTTCACATTAGTGAAGTTGTAAGTAAAAACTAAAACCAATAGGAGGAACCATCAGAAAGATGAAACAAAACTCAACAGAAGGTAAAAACGGGTGATAGCAATTCCACTTTCATAGTTCTTTCTTTGGATGTGGACAGCATTTTCCATCCTGAGGCCTCTGGAGATGTCTTAGATCCTTTTAATGCTGAGAAGGGTTCAGTTTAACAATCTTAGTCATTGCATAACCTGACTGTTATTGTGTATAAAGTCCTCTCGGTTCTGCTCACTTCACTCAGCATCAGACCATGTAAGTCTTTCCAGGTTTTTCTGAAGTCAGCCTGTTCATCATTTCTTATAGCACAATAGTATTCCATTACATTCATATACCACAACTTGCTCAGCCATTCCCCAATTGATGGGCATCCTCTCAATTTCCAATTCTTTGCCACCACAAAAAGAGCTGCTATGAATATTTTTGTACATGTGGGTCCTTTTCCCATTTGTTTGATCTCTTTGGGATATAGCCCTAGAAGTGCTATTGCTGGATCAAAGGGTATGCACATTTTTGTAGCCCTTTGGGCATAGTTCCAAATTGTTCTCCAAAATGGTTGGATCATTTCACAACTCCACCAACAATGTATTAGTGTTCCAATTTTCCCACATCTTCTCCAACATTTATCATTTTCCTGTTTTGTCATGTTGGCCAATCTGATAGGTGTGATGTGGTACCTCAGAGTTGTTTTGATTTGCATTTCTCTAATCAATAACGATTTAGAGCATTTTTTCATATGACTATAGATGGCTTTAATTTCTTCATCTGAGAACTGTCTGTTCATATCCTTTGACCATTTATCAATTGGGGAATGGCTTGTGTTCTTATAAATTTGTCTTAATTCTCTATATATTTTAGAAATGAGGCCTTTATCAGAGAGACTGGTTGTAAAAATTCT